GAAATCAGATTCGCACTTTTTATGGTCAGTTGACTGAAACAAAATGTTGCCCTCACAAGTCACTTTATAATATGATGTTTAAATTGACATTGCGATGTCATTTACGAAAGTGTCAAGACCCTAGTTTCCAGGATGTGTCCAATATCCTTCTTCTCAAACATACATGACTGAAACCTCCATGCACCCTAGTTCAACTCGGAGGTGTGTGAATAAACTTGTGCATGAAAATTACCTGAAGCAGATTTGCGAGTCAGAAGTACCCACCCTCTTGATGAACTGACTCGCCACAAATCGTTATGTCACATATCGCCAAACCCTACTCGTAGAAAGACCTTAAATCCTCGGTCTTATTCTCATTCTCCGTATCATCCCAGTTATATTTTGTTAAGGGATAATCACCACCTATTTTGGCAATAGTCAATCTCATTGTCACACAAAAATAGGAGGAACAGCTCAAAACAAAGCCAATAGGAATGGGCTTATAGAGACGAAGCGCAATACACTAGACGATGAGCCGATTGACACAAGCCATACAAATTCACATTAATTTGCCAATGACTTACATCATAATCCACTTTTGTTAATTTTTACTTTATTTACTCAATTTTAGTGCAATTTTATGGTATATAATGGACCTTTTGCACCTTGTTTGGTTCAAAATAACATTACATCAAAATCTATTAAAAATTGACATTATATCATCGAATGTAAATTTTGTGTTCATTATTCAAGTAAAATTGTTCCTTATTCTATTAGTCCTAGTAAAAGGTGATATTCACTTTTGAGCAGAAGCAAATATAAGTTTTCAAAAGAGGTATTCACGTACCTTTGCAATCTAGGAATCCAAATCATGTCTCATCTCAGGTTCTCCCTGAGATGCGACGTGCTGATGAATGAGGGCACGTGCTAAATCATTAAATCTCACAAAGTGTATCTTTAAGGCAGTAAGGAAGAGCATGCATTATCTACCTGTGTGGTTTGAGGTCTCCTTTTAGGCTGGTTTAGTAGTACGAGGAATGAGATCTTGTGCTATAAAGTCGATTTTTCTTAATCCTGATCAACCACTTCCGTTTGCCTTTAAAGAAGAGGTTTTATGGCGCACGCTTAGATGTACCGAGTGGACATATTTCATCCTTCAGTCATTTCTGGTCACTTAGTAAGGAAAAATAATTGAATGTGTCTTTGAAATGACGGGGATTTCATTTGCTTTGCTCGCTTATTTTTGCTTAAGTTTAATAAAACTTGTTAAAGAATGAGGATTTTTACAAAGCATGCAGGAAGCAAATGCATTTTCCTTAAAATTGGTTTCTACATGAGTCAAAGCGCCTATTTTTTCTTTAGGAAGATGGAAAAGATTTAGAAAGGCTTGGAGTTAATCTAAATGTTAATAATTTAATGGATGTAGAATGCAGACTCCAAACAGGTTTCTAAAAGGGAAAGTGATGCTTCAGATACTCGCTTCGGATCATTTAGCCATCAGCCTCTTGACACTTCAAAATTCCCTTTTTAGCTAAATAACTCAACTTCAAAAACAATTAAGTGACTGTGTTAAAGGTTAGGGCTCTATAAAAGTATTAAGTTTATATGATTAAGTGAAATGCTTATTTCTGGTTTGACTTAAAAATATTCTTTATTTCTGAAGACTTTTTATGGAGAAATCAGCAGACACTATTATTTTGCTTAAAATCATCCACTATTGAAATGCTTTCATACCTCAAAATAGACTTAAAAGTCGGCCTTTCTCTCCTCTTGCAACCAACTGTCCATTTTCCATGATTCGCAAACCTCGAAAAGTGTCAAACAGCAGACGAGAAACGGAAAGCCTCCAATTGCGGAGTTTTATTTACCCTGTGTATTTTCATGCATACCCCAAATTATCTCAACGTAAGTTATCAATTATCCAAGTGATGAGGTCCTGTCACTGAGTGAAAGATGGGTCCAAAGAGGAGAGAATG